GGCCACCTCCGGGGAACGGGGCTGCTTCGGAAACCAGACCTGACTCCAAAGCCAGGCCGCATCCTGCGGAAGGAACCGGCCACTGTGGGCTGAATGGGGAGATGCCCTTTTGGGGGCCTGAGGCGGGACCAGACCCTCCCGGCTTGGGTGCCGGTGTGCTCCGGGGACCCTGCTTTCTTACGCCCGGTTCCTGCTGTCCCATCCCAGCCCCGGCTCGGGCTCTGCGCGGCTCACCCCGGTTCCCCCCGCAGGCTACTGCACTGGCTGGGGTGACCCCCACTACGTCACCTTCGACGGGCTGTACTACAGCTACCAGGGCAACTGCACCTACGTCCTGGTGGAGCAGATCACGCCCATCGTGGACAACTTCGGGGTCTACATCGACAACTACCACTGCGACGTCAACGACAAGGTGTCTTGCCCCCGCACGCTCATAGTGCGCCACGAGACCCAGGAGGTGCTGGTCAAGACCGTGCAGATGGCACCCATGAAGGTGCAGGTAAGACGGGGCAACTCGATGCCCATCCCGCCTGCTGGGAGGCTGTGCCGAGCTCCCCAGAGCTGGGCTGGCGGCGCTTGGGGGACACACTCAACCCCTGTCCCAGGCCCTGCGGGGGCGCGCAGGGACCCCTGGGTCACCCCATCAGTCACCTGCAACCCACCCTGGGCACAGGTCTCAGGGGCAGAGGCCGCCACCCCGAGGACAGGGACCGGCGGGCAGGGGCTGGGCCTATGCCCACATGAAGTTGTTGGTTCCCACGGCCTGTGGAGCCCTGCCCTTTCCCTGTGCCCCGAAGTCTCCGAGGGGCTCCGCGGGTCGCACGTTGCTACTTCACCCCGGGACCAGCGGGGCAGGGAGGAAGGGAAAGGGAACAAGACCGGGAGGGGCAGGCAGAGGTCCCCCCGCAGTGTGAGGGGTGGAGGGGCGGGGGCGCCGCCCTCCCGGCCCGGCCCGGCCCTGATGTGTAAGGCGCCCTGCGCAGAGGTGACCAGGCAGGGCAGGCTTCCAGCTGAGTGGCCGCCAGCTCCTGGCCCCTGGCCGTCCCTGACCCCAGCCATGCCGGCCACAGGTGCTGATCAACAAGCAGGCCGTGGCACTGCCCTACAAGAAATACGGGCTGCAGGTGTACGAGTCGGGCATCAACTACATCGTGGACATCCCCCGGCTGGGCGCCCTGGTCTCCTACAATGGCCTGTCCTTCTCCATCAAGCTGCCCTATAGCCTGTTTGGCAACAACACCAAGGGCCAGTGCGGTGAGCCTCGCCCCCAGGGCTCCCTGCGGCCCCTGGGCTCTGCCAGGGCAGGGGGAGGGGGCAGAGTCGGCCCGAGCACCCCCAGCCCAGCGCGGTTCTCCCGCTCCCGCGCTCGGGGAGCCTGTGGCTGTCGTCCTGGGCTTGGCCCCTGCGGGAAGCCACCTCGGCCCTGGCCAGCAGCTGGTCACCGGGGAGGCTGGGCTGCAGGAGCGGGGGGGTCCCAGGGCTCGTGCCGGTTCGACTTGGGCCTTCTCGCCGACAGGCACCTGCACCAACAACACCGCGGACGACTGCATGCTGCCCAGCGGGGAGGTCATCGCTGACTGCGAGGTCGCAGCTGACCAGTGGGTGGTGAATGACCCCTCCAAGCCACACTGTCCCCACACCAGCTTCACCACCCGGCGCCCGGCCACCACGCCCTCGGGGGGCAGCGGCACCGGCCCACACAAGAACTGCTCGTCTCCTCTCTGCGAGCTCATCAAGGACAGGTGACTGTGTCCCCTCCACGTCAGGAGGAGAGGCAGGGTGCTGAGCGTAGGGCTGGGGGCCGGGGGGCAGGTACCGGCCACAGAGGGGCCCCGGACTCAGGCTCCCGCTTTCTGTGGGGCTGAGCTGCCTGGTCAGACATCCCCGGGCCTTTTCCGACCTCCCCAATCTATCCTGCCCGTGGCTGGTGTGAGGTAGAGTGAGCGTGAAGCCTGGGGTAGACCAGTTGACCAGAGTCAGTGTTGCGGGTGCTTTCAGGGGCAGAGCTGGGTGTAGGAGGAGGGGGGCTCTCCCAGAGCTGGTGGGGAGTGAGTGCCTCGTCCCCAGAGGTGTGCAAGTGAAAGCCGGGTGGCCCTCTGCCAGGGTTGCTGGAGGGAGTGCTGCCGGCATGCACTTATCCTTGGGCCACAGTGGGGGCCCCTTCCCTGAGCCCCCCTACCCAGGGCCTCTAGGTGAGCAGCCCAGTGGCAGGTGCTGGGTGGTGGGGACAGTGAGAGAGGTGGAGCCCCGTTGGTCAGAGCCTGACCCGTGTCCCTCCCCACAGCCTGTTTGCCCAGTGCCATGCCCTGGCTCCCCCCGAGCACTACTACGAGGCCTGTGTGTTCGACACCTGCACCATGCCCGACTCGGGCATGGAGTGCATCAGCCTGCAGACCTACGCGGCCCTCTGTGCCCACGAGGGCGTCTGCATCGACTGGCGGAACCACACCCATGGGGCCTGCCGTGAGTGCTTGCCCACCCCTGGGCCCGGGCTGGGGTCCCTCTGGGCTCAGCTGGGTGCTATGCCCAGCCTGAAACCACACCGGAGTGGGGTAGCTGGGCGCACATGGAGACTGGACTCGGCCTTGGGGGGGGGACAGAGGGCCAGCTGCAGGGGCTGGGGAGGCTGGGGTGGTGCCCACCTTGCTAGGCACGAATGGACACCTGTCACCCAGCTCAAGACAGAATGGGTGTTGAACCGGGCAGTGCTGGGCAGCCTGCCACCCTTAGCCAATGTGGGAGGGAGGTCCTTTGGGGGGGGGCTGGGCAGGGCTGTCACTTTTGGGGAACCCAGGCTCCTCCCTCCTGACTCTGCTGCCTCCCTCCTGCAGCGGTCCACTGCCCACCTCACAAGGAGTACCAGCCCTGTGGTCCTGCCAAGGAGCCCACCTGCAAGTCCAGGTCAGTCACGGAGATCCACGGGGTGGTGGGCTTCCCCAAGTGGGCGCTGAGGGCGCATGCCCGTGCATGGGTCTCCAGTGCGCCGTCCCCCAGCCGCCCGCATGCCCAGCTCATGATGCCTTCCTGCCCTCCAGCTCCACAGACAACAGCACCCTGCTGGTGGAAGGCTGCTTCTGCCCCGAGGGCACCATGAGCTACGCCCCCGGCTTTGACGTCTGCGTGGACGTGTGTGGTACGTCTCCAGTTTGCCTTCCCCTCTCCTGCCTCCATGGAGCCAGGCCCGGTCCCGCTGTCCCCGGACTCTGCTAACAGGATTTGTCTCCTCTCTCCTAGGCTGTGTGGGACCTGACAATGTGCCCAGAGAGGTAGGCCTGCTTCTCGGTGCTGGGGTGGGATTCTCCCACAGACCCCGAGTTTTGGGGGTGGGTGGGTTGGACATGAGAACCTGGGAGCTCAAAGCATCGATAATGGGTCATCTAAGTCCTGCAAAGCTTAGCTAGCAGGACGTGCACCCATCCACCCATCTATGCTCCAGGAACCCCTTCTGCCCTCCTCCCACCACTCCCACATCCTTCCGTCCCTGAATCCCTCTGTCCCTCTGCACATCCATCCTTTTGCTCAACACTGATCCACCCACCCACCCATCAGTGCCTCCAACAAACCATCCATCCATCCATCCATCCATCCATCCATCCATCCATCCATCCATCCATCCAATCATCCATCCATCCATCCATCCATCCATCCACCCACCCACCATCTGTCCGTCTATCCACACATCCCTCCATCTGCCCGTCCACCGTCCACACCACTGGCCCAGCGGTCACACGATGCTCTGTCTTGGTCCCTGCGCTGCTGTGTCTCCCGCACGCAGTTGACCCGGTAGACACATGTGGTTTGTCTGCCACGTGCCTGGCCTACGTAGGGACACTCGGGCGAGCAGGTCACGGTTGTGTTATTAGTGGCCTGGCCCTGAGTGAAGGCCGCGGTCCTGGACCAGAACCACCCCGTGTGCTGAGAGGTGGGAGGGCGCAGGTGTTCCCACAGGGCCGTCGGCGAGCGTCCAGCGCAGTGCCTGCTCCCTGCTGACCCGACGTGCCGCGGTATGGCCCTGGCACATGGGGGGCATGGCTCTCGTCCTGGCTCACCCCCTTCCTCCCTGCAGTATGGGGAGCACTTCGAGTTCGACTGCAAGGACTGCATCTGCCTGGAGGGCGGGAGCGGCATCGTCTGCCAACCCAAGAAATGCACCCAGAAGCCGCCCGTCCAGTGCAAAGAGGATGGCACGTACTTGGTCACGGAGGTCAACCCTGCCGACACCTGCTGCAACATCACCTCCTGCAGTAAGTCACCTGGGGCCTGGGCCTCTGTCTCCCCCTCACCGTGGCCCCTGGTGTCACTGAGCAAGCCCCGCCCCGTGCGTGTTTCTCTGTTCTGTGGACTCGGGAGCCCCCGACTCGGGGCTGCTGGAGGCTGGGGCCTTGGGGGTGTCTGCTGAGGGCAGGTGCTGGAGGGTGCTCAGGACCCTGCGCGGGGGAGGCCCCGGCCCTGCCTGCCGGAAGGGTTGCCGATATCCCTGTGTGTCCCCACTTTGCCCCCAGAGTGCAATGCCAGCCTGTGCAAGGAGCAGCCCCCCGACTGTCCTATGGGCTTCGACCTGAAGAGCGAGATGAAGCCCGGGAGGTGCTGCCCCTTCTACTCCTGTGGTAAGAGGGCCGAGGCCGCGGAGGGNACAAACCATCCATCCATCCATCCATCCATCCATCCATCCATCCATCCATCCATCCATCCAATCATCCATCCATCCATCCATCCATCCATCCACCCACCCACCATCTGTCCGTCTATCCACACATCCCTCCATCTGCCCGTCCACCGTCCACACCACTGGCCCAGCGGTCACACGATGCTCTGTCTTGGTCCCTGCGCTGCTGTGTCTCCCGCACGCAGTTGACCCGGTAGACACATGTGGTTTGTCTGCCACGTGCCTGGCCTACGTAGGGACACTCGGGCGAGCAGGTCACGGTTGTGTTATTAGTGGCCTGGCCCTGAGTGAAGGCCGCGGTCCTGGACCAGAACCACCCCGTGTGCTGAGAGGTGGGAGGGCGCAGGTGTTCCCACAGGGCCGTTGGCGAGCGTCCAGCGCAGTGCCTGCTCCCTGCTGACCCGACGTGCCGCGGTATGGCCCTGGCACATGGGGGGCATGGCTCTCGTCCTGGCTCACCCCCTTCCTCCCTGCAGTATGGGGAGCACTTCGAGTTCGACTGCAAGGACTGCATCTGCCTGGAGGGCGGGAGCGGCATCGTCTGCCAACCCAAGAAATGCACCCAGAAGCCGCCCGTCCAGTGCAAAGAGGATGGCACGTACTTGGTCACGGAGGTCAACCCTGCCGACACCTGCTGCAACATCACCTCCTGCAGTAAGTCACCTGGGGCCTGGGCCTCTGTCTCCCCCTCACCGTGGCCCCTGGTGTCACTGAGCAAGCCCCGCCCCGTGCGTGTTTCTCTGTTCTGTGGACTCGGGAGCCCCCGACTCGGGGCTGCTGGAGGCTGGGGCCTTGGGGGTGTCTGCTGAGGGCAGGTGCTGGAGGGTGCTCAGGACCCTGCGCGGGGGAGGCCCCGGCCCTGCCTGCCGGAAGGGTTGCCGATATCCCTGTGTGTCCCCACTTTGCCCCCAGAGTGCAATGCCAGCCTGTGCAAGGAGCAGCCCCCCGACTGTCCTATGGGCTTCGACCTGAAGAGCGAGATGAAGCCCGGGAGGTGCTGCCCCTTCTACTCCTGTGGTAAGAGGGCCGAGGCCGCGGAGGGAGGGGGCTGTGGGGTGCAGCGGCTCCCTTCTGGGAGTCCCACCCATCCCGGGCCCTGGTGCCCGCACCATCCACGGGATGCATGTCCCACCCACCCTCCTATTCTTTCTCCCTCAAGTGCCCAAGGGCGTGTGTGTTGTTGGGAACGCTGAGTACCAGGTGAGCCAGGGGCTGCCCAGCGGGGAGGGAGCAGGGCGAGGGGCTGGGGTCCCGACCAGGCTCACGGGCTCACCCGCCTCACGTGTCCCTCCCTGTGCCCCAGCCCGGCTCCCCAGTGTACTCCTCCGGGTGCGAGACATGCGTCTGCACCAACGTCACGGACGGCGCCACGCAGCTCAACCAGGTGTCCTGCAGCCACGTGCCCTGCAACACCACCTGTAACCCTGTGAGTGCCCCTCCCCAGGAGTTCTGGGTCCCATCCCTGCCCCTCTGGGTCCCAGCACTGCCCTGAGCCTGGGCCCTGAGCCTGGGCCCTGAGCCTCCGCCCTGAGCCTGCCNAGCAGGAAGGTGTTTCAGGTCTGTGCTCCTTCCAAAACTCGAGGAGGGGGCCTTTCCTGCCTCTTCCTCCTCTGGGGCTCCAGGAGTCCCTGGGCTGTGGCCAGGTCCCTCCAGTCTCTCCCCGTGATCACATGGTCCCTCTTCTCTCTGTCTCTTCTATCATCTCTTATAAGGACACCAGTCCCTGGATTTAGGGCCACCTGGTGACCCAGGAGGACCCCACCCCAAGATCTTTCGCTTAATCACACCTGCGAAGACCCTTTTACTTTTAAAAAATATGTTTTTATTGATTTTAGAGAGAGAGGAAGGGAGAGGGAGAGAGAGGAAACATCAGTGATGAGAGAGAAACATCACTGAGCAGCTGCCTCCTGCCCGCCTCCCACTGGAGGTCGAGCCCACGACCCCGGCCTGTGCCCCGACCAGGAGCCACACCGTGACCCCCTGGTTCCTGGGTTGAAGCTCAACCACTGAGCCACTCTGGCCGGGCCAAAGACCCTTTTCCTAAATAAGGTCACACCCGCAGGCTCCGGGTTAGGACGGGATTCTTGTATGGACTACAGGCTGGTGGCCGTCCCCGGGCCCCTCCTGCGTGTCACCTGCCTGGTGGCCCCGGGCCTGCAGGCAGGACGTCCTGTCTGAGAGGCTGCCCATGGCTGGGCAGGGCCTGCCAGGCGTTCCCATCTGCCTTCCTGGGCTGGCCCTCACCACCCTGTCCTCCCCCCACAGCCCGGGGACATAAAGAGCGACCCCAAGAACAACTGCACCTTCTTTAGCTGCGTGAAGATCCACAATCAGCTCATCTCGTCCGTCTCCAACATCACCTGCCCCGACTTCGACCCCAGCTCCTGCCTCCCGGTGAGCAGCCGTCTCGGGTGGCTGCGTGCACTCTGCAGGGGTGGCGAGAGGTCCCCATGTTCCTGGGGGACTGGTCTCTGTGCTGGGACAGTGGCCCCTTCTGTAGGAACTGTCCCTTCTGACCCCGGCGGACCGTNCTCTCTCCTAGGGCTTCGGGCTGGTGACTGTCCCGGGTGAGTGTTGCCCGAAGTGTGAGCAGACCGACTGCATCATCAGCAGACCTGATGGCCTCCACCTCATCCTGAAGGTGCGCTGGGNCTGGGCAGGGCCTGCCAGGCGTTCCCATCTGCCTTCCTGGGCTGGCCCTCACCACCCTGTCCTCCCCCCACAGCCCGGGGACATAAAGAGCGACCCCAAGAACAACTGCACCTTCTTTAGCTGCGTGAAGATCCACAATCAGCTCATCTCGTCCGTCTCCAACATCACCTGCCCCGACTTCGACCCCAGCTCCTGCCTCCCGGTGAGCAGCCGTCTCGGGTGGCTGCGTGCACTCTGCAGGGGTGGCGAGAGGTCCCCATGTTCCTGGGGGACTGGTCTCTGTGCTGGGACAGTGGCCCCTTCTGTAGGAACTGTCCCTTCTGACCCCGGCGGACCGTGGGGGCACTCCCGTTGGGGGAGGTCTGGGGTGCCAGGCTCACTCTCCTTCTTTCCAGGGCTCCATCACCTACATGCCCAACGGCTGCTGCAAGAAATGTGAGTACAGGCCTGGCGGGTGGGTTCCCTGGGCCCTTCGGGGAGGAAGGCACAGGGGATGGGCCCCGGGAGCCAATCAGAGGCAGATGGCGGGTGGGAGGACCTCACCCAGCTGCGTCAGGGCCGCGGGGGCGGTGGGTGTCCTGGGGGGTGTGGACACCCCGCCCCAAGCCTCCACCTCGCTGTCTCCTAGGCATCCCTCGCAATGAGACCAGGATCCCCTGCTCCACCATGTCCGAAACCAGGGAGATTTCAGAAGGCGGCTGCGCTGCGAAGGTCACCATGAATTACTGCTCCGGATCCTGTGGGACCTTCGCCATGTGAGTTTCGGGCTGAGGGTGGGGGCGGCAGAGGGGAGCTGCATGCCCGGGGGTGGCCCTCACCCTGGCGCTCCGGCAGGTACTCGGCTGAGGCGCAGGCCCTGGACCACAAGTGCTCCTGCTGCAAGGAGGAGAGCACCAGCCGGCGGGAGGTGCAGCTGCTCTGCCCCGACGGCAGCTCCCGGAAACACACCTACACCCACATCGAGAGCTGCTTGTGCCAGGACACCCTGTGCGAGCTCCCGCAGGCCCAGCGCAGGGCCCCCGGCCGCGCCCGCCGCTCTGGGCTCCCGGCCCTGCACCCGAGCAGGGGCTGAGGTGGGCAAACACCCACCCGCCTGCTAACCCTCTGAGCTCCCTCGCCTCCTGAACTGACTTCCTCTGTATGGATATTTATTTTCCAAGCTTTGGTTCAATTCTTCACTTTCCCAAATAAATGCAGATTGAAATGCTATGTGGCTGTGCTCATGCTTCAGTTGGTGCCACGGGGTCTGGGTGGGTGCTCCCGGGGGGGCCAGTGCATCCAGAAGGCCCATAGAGGGCCCCTCATCCCCCCGTGGGGCCGATCGCCAGGCTCTGCACACAGGACCCGGGGGACACCGTGCATATGCCTGGCTTGGCTTTGGCTAACTTCACGTACAAAATGGGACCCCCCCCACCGTGACCACCGTCTCCAGGGCGGCCCTACAAAGCCCTGTCTCGTCCTGTCCTGCTCTTGGGCCCTGGAGAGGCAGACGCCCCTTCCAGGAAGCCCTCCGGCCCCGAGGTGTGGGATGGACTCTCGGCTCATCTCTCAGCCATGTCTAGGGCTAGCGGCTCCGTGAGGCTTCTGTCCGCCCCCCAGCTGTGGGCAGGAGCACGTGTGCACACGTGTGTGTGAGCATGAGCGCCTGTGTGTGTGACTCGTGTGTGAGCACCCGTGTGTGTGTGTGTGATCCGTCGTGAGCGTGCACAGCAAAACAGACATCGTTAAGGTGGAAAACTTCTGCTGTTTGAAAACAAGTTACCAAAATGGCAGGCCGCAGTCCGGAAGAAAATTTTGCAAAATACGTGTCTGAAAAGGAGGTTGTATCCCGAATATAGAAGGGATGCCTGCAACTCAGTAATGATGCATTAAACAGCTCAAATAAAACTGGGCAGAGGCTCCCTCACAACAGGCCAGCAAGCCCATGAAAGGGTGTCCTGAGTTACCCGTGATCTAACACGTGCACACACATGCACACGCATGCACACACACACATGCACATGCACACAAGCGCGCACACACGCACACACACGCACACGGCAGGAGCAGCACCCAGTGTTGGCAAGAATGGGGACAACCGGACTCTCCGGCGCTGCTGGAGGGGACGCGAGCTCTGACGGCCTCTCCGGAAGACACAGTCTTATAAAATGAGATGTAACCTGACTGCATGGCCCACAGCCCCACGCCGGAGGCAGGACGAAGGGACCCTGTCCCCACGGGAAGGCACGAGTGGGGGTGTTCAAAGCGGCCTCGCTCACCTTTCGGGGAACCAGCGGCCGTGCAGACATCCAGCCCTGAGCGGGATCCCCCCGCAGTGACCGGCTGTGTCCTCGCGGCGAGGCCCCTGCTAGCCGACGGCAGTGAGAACGCAGACCAGAGGGTCCCGTCCCCCGGGCTCTGCAAACGGCCCGCCCGGGGCCGGGGAGCGGAGCAGAGGTTCCCCGGGACAGGGACTGGGGCAGGGACCCACCACAAACGGAAAGGACAGGCTCTGCGTTTCTCTCTCGGGGTCGAGGTCGCGCCCAATGGCTCACAGTTATCAGGCCGAACGCGGACAGTGGTGTGTCCCAGTGCGTGTGAGTAATAGTTTGATTAAAAGAATGAATGGGCGACGGTGCCTACACAGCGCGGTCGTTCGCTCGTGACCGCGGGGTGGGCGGCCGGGCGGCTGTCCTGAGCCTGCCGTCCGCGGAGGGTCTGCAGGGCTGGCCGGGGCGGGAGCAGGGCGCAGGCCTCCCCGGGTCCCCGCCTTCCCCAGAGCAGGCAGCCGTCCGCCGCGGGCAGATTGTTCCCGAGACTCATGCGACGTCCGCCGCTGTCCCCACAGACACAGGAACCCACGCGCACGGCCTCGGGGGACAGGGCCCAGGGGTGCAGCAGTCGGGGGCTCTGACCGCCTCCCGTCACGGACTCTCAGGCGGCAGGGAGGGCGGGAAAGCTCGGCCGTCCCACTTCTGAAACTGGGATACCTGCGGCCCCGGGGTCACTCAAGGGAAAGGAAACTGGACGTGTGTCGCTTGTTAACACAGGGCCGACACCCGAGGGAGGCACAGCCCCTTCAGAAGCAGAGGTAAAGCCACGGTGGGGCGTGACGCCTGTCCGCGTGGGGGGCTGGTCCCCTCCCGCCAACCCTCTCCCACCCCGGGGTGCAGGCACCCACGTAGAGGACCAGCCAGCTTTGAGGAAAGAAACAGGGACGAGTCACCCAGCCTCCCGTCCCTCCCCGGCCGACCTGTTCTGCTCACTTCTCCAAGGCAAGCAGCTTGGGGCCCGGGGCTGATGGTGGAGGGGACCTGCCTGACTCTGGGGGGTCGCGGCAGAAGTGCCGGCCGGCGAGGCCCACAGCCTCCAGCCTCAAC